ATAAACAATGACACAATGGTCAATCTGCTAATGGAGCTAGAGAACAAATAAACGTAGATGGACACAGCGAACTTAAATATGCAAACGCAATTTTTGAAAAAATCATTTATTATATTTTTTTATTTTTTTTAGTTGCACAAAACCTCGACCTTTACTAATGTGCTAAGAGAACAAATCAAAAGTTGAGGTGTCTGATCGTGAGCAATATTAATCTTACTAAATTGAAATTAAAAAACTAATCTAATGCCTAATCCTAAACACTTATTGTTAGATGAAAGAGTACCCAATCCACAATCGGGTGGACTATAATAAAGTAAACAAAAGATCTTACACTGATTTAGAGGAAGAGGAAATAACCGGATGGATCACCTTCTTAGAGATGGATCACCTTCTTAGAGAGTTTTTATAAATTGAAAGATGAAAAGAAGAGAAACAATAACGAAAAAAAAAGAAGGAGGAAGAAAAATTGTTCGAGGAATTTTCTGAAAGTCTACTGTCAGATTTCAGCGAAGAACCCCCCTATGACACCCCATATGTAAAGTACGTTCTAATTTTTATAATGTAACTTTAATATTTTTAATAAATTTAAAAACAACACACTCTCTAACGGTCATAATTTTGGGGCTAAAAACATAGTTACGCTTCAAGTAAAAATGGTGCATTAAATCTACATTACTTTTAGGTTAAAGTTTAAATTTAAAATCAATTTCTCGGTAGCTTTGTATCTTATGGACATCTCTCCACATTTGGGTAAACATCTAAGTAACTCTGATACAATGAGGCACTAAATTTCTTCCATCTCTGAGGCTGAACGGGCTTAACTTGCATATCAGATAATTAGACTTTGTCTGAACTTCCTCATTATAAATACAATATATTAAATTCCAAGTTTGATTCAGCATTTACTGTTCTTAAACGATTCCTTTTTCCTGATTCATGAATATTCAAAACTTTTATGCTTTACAACTTTTTTAGATGCATTATCAGTAGGGATTGTTGGAAGAAGTGGGACATTAAAAAATATTTATAGAATAACTTTAACATCTTTTTAGTTATTCTACAAATTTTAACAAATCTTAACAAACAAATCATCATTTTGGGCTCTGTTTTCATCGCCTAAGATTGACAGCAGGTTATAATAAAGTATATATACTTTTAATTTTAGAGAACCTGTACCACCGGGGTAAAGTGAGACAGCCATGGGGTTAAGTGAGACAGCCATGGGGTAAAGTGAGACAGTCATGGGGTTAAGTGGGACGAACGAGTAATTAACAATATATTAACAAAAATGATTATTTAAAAACTAATAAAACCGTAATCCATGTAATCTTCAACAATATGTTCATGTAATCTTCAACAAAATATTCACGTAATCTTCAACAAAATGTTCAAAGCTTTCCACAAAACTAATATGAGAGAAATTGGAGATTAATTAGTTTTTTTTCCCCTCTTCACCCCTTAAAAAATCATTGTTTACATTAGATAACATTGGTTAAAGACCACTTCTCATCACTCCCTCTATGTTTGTAGAGAAAATTAAAAGTATTTTACTTGAAATGACCTTTGCAACCTTGAAATGATATTTTATGACTTGCAAAATATTTCGATAGGCTTACCTTCTTATAATGTCTTTCGTTAAAAATGGTTATTATAGAGTAAATTTATAGAGTTATTTTAGTTATATACTATAAGCTAAGAAAACTATTTAACTAAAGGTACCTAAAACGTTGCCATAAAAAAATAAAATTGATTGTTAGTTATAACGTTGTTTTTTTTTATTTAACAACCATTTTACATTGTTTTAAAAATAAATTTATTATGAAGGTTAATTTCTATTAGGTCGATTTTTTTATATAGCCACGTGTTTTACTTTAATTTTTATTATGTTTAAGACTTTAATTATATATACTAGCAGTAAGCAACCCGTAATAAGCGTTGTTAGTAAATAAAATTAAAAAAAAAAACCGCGTATAGAAAAGCCTAGAAATTACTTTAAAATAGAAAAGCCTAGAAAATGACGTAACTCGACTAATATTAAATTAGCGTATTCATATTATCAGAAGATCACCATTTAGAATTATACAATAACCATTGTGATAGGTTTTTTTTATTGTTGTTTACTTTTATAGATACGACGTTAAAAAGTTGTTAAAATAATAACCTATATCAGGAAATTCAGCGGTCAAAAAATTTTATAATGTAATTTAATAAAAATCATTGCCTATTAGGGACTTAAACAGAGTTGAACGCAAATTTATAAAGCATAAACTGTATAACTAAACATCTATATTTTGCTTTGGTGCATTAGTCTAAACCTTCAATGAATGTGCAAAAGCACTTTAACAGCACTTCTAACTTATTGGGATGAATTTAAAAAAATCATGGTTCTATATATTTTCCTCTCTAAATCTGTATGAAAGTGTCACCGACTTGTCTAACTGAAACAAGTGCAAGTATTAACAATTGTCACTTCAATTTTAAATGCAGTATGTAAAACCACTACTATTCTAAGTGAGAAGTAAAGCGTGACTATTAGTTTAGTCGATCTGTGCATTACAAGTTTGAAAAACTGCCTTTGCACAACGAATAAAAGAGGGAAAAGTAAATTTGCTGATAATCTTACTACTCAGTAAGATATCAGTTTTAAATTAAGTGAAGACGTTTTTCTTACCGCTACCTTCTTATATCCTCAACTTAAATCAATAATGTTTACTTTGGCATAGATGCAATTTGTTGAATCTTACTTAATGGTATCTGAAAAAAAAGCATGATTTAAGTAATCATATGATTCCCAATGAAATTTAACTCAAGGGAACAAATTTCTCATCTAAAACAAATAGAATTTTAGATCAAATGTTTAAAAATGTTTCTAAAATTTGTACCCTACCAGGAAGAAAAACTTTAGATCAGCAATTAAAGTTTGAAATTACTGCGTACACCGAGGAGAAAACAGGGACGTTCTGGTTATCCTATTCTCCGCTGGAAGAACAAAAGTTACATTTTCCTTTTATTATCCAAATTTATACTTGATCTTCTTGCTATACAATCTACAAATTGTTCATCAAAAATATTTAACTCAGTGAGAGGAGGAGTAATCAAATGTAAACGCCTTACCGAGCAAAACGCGGAACGGTTAATTTGGGCTAAAGCTAAAAAAAAAAGAGCTAATTAAAATAATCTTCTAATTACGTAATTTTATATTCTTAGAATATAGAAATAAAAAAACCTAAAATTGGATTTCCTTAAACTAGTGACTTGGTTTAAAAATCGATTTGCATCGATGTCTTCAAATATATATATATATATATATATATATATATATATATATATATATATATATATATATATATATATATATATATATATATATATATATATATATATATATATATATATATATATATATATATATATATATATATATATATATATATATATATATGTATATATATATATATATATATACATAAATAAATAAATAAATAATATATATATATATATATATATATATATATATATATATATATATATATATATATATATTTGAAGACATATATCTCTTTAAAATTGGGATCCTTTGCTGACACCAAGGGCTTTGGGATTCTATAAGGTATCCAAGAGAGATAAGGGGGAGGACAGATATGCAAAAAGCGTTCAATTAAGTAACGTATTATAAGATCAACTTTGGAAGACACACGCTCTAATTTAGCTTATGGATTTTATGATTAAATTTAAAAGACGCACGCTCTAATGCAGTTTTTTTAAAATAAAAACTTTTTTAATAGAAAGAAAAAAGAAAGAGGGGTTGGAATATTTCAAAAGCGTACTTTTTTAGGAGGGACTTAAAAGTACGCATGGTAACAGGGGGAGGGTCAAATTTTTAAATTTTTGGCGTACATAATTTACGGACGACCCTTAGGTACATCAAACTGTAGTGGCTTATACTTATTAATGTTGTGGCACGTATTTAAGAAAAATTGTCTTAGGGTAAATACTGACTCCCTAAAATGCAACTTCAATATATCAAATGCATTTAAATAAAATTACCGAAATAAAAAGTTTGAAAACTATGGAATAAGTATAACTAAACTGATTTATGTTGAGAAACATTTATGTTGTTTTAAAACAAATTTTATGTGGGAAAAGTAAAAATAGTATAAATTTTGTTTAGTTATTCCATTACGATAAATAAAAATATTATGTGAACCCTACTGAGAAACAATAACAATTAATGTATTAAAAACTTGTGCAATTTGTTACTAGAACTTCCAATGAGTTTTGAGAACACAAAAATTATCTAAAAGTTGTAATTTGTGAAATTTAGCGTTTTTAGATCTAATGTTACCACTGGTAAAAATCCCGCAAATATATTGAAAAAGTGAAAAATGGACCACCCTAAGTTAGCATTCTGGAACATATTTCATTTTACCTTTTTTTTTTTTTTTTTTATAAACATCTTTGCTCCCAATAAGGCTGCAAGCAATATAATTTGCAATCTTTTGCAAATTTGCAAAAGATTGCAAGTTATATGAATTAGGAAAGCAAGGCAAAGGAAGCAAACAAAAGAGCTAGTTAACCGCTAGTGTTAAAGGTCTAGATCCAAGTCAAAATATAACTGTGTACCTTAAAGACAATAAAAATCTTTACAATATACAATCTTTAAATTATATACTGATGAGTCTTTTTCTTGCAAAAGTAACGTCATGAAGAGTCTTTTAATATAGCCCCTATTTTTATATATTATTTTATAAACATCTTATAAAGAGAGTATCTTATAAAGATAGTAACTGTTATAAAAATCGTTAAAAACTTCAAAAAATTAAAACTAGAATAAATATAAAAAATTTATTCATTCTAGAAAAAATAATTACATTAATCTTTCTGAACTTTATCGTTAAAAAAATTACAAATGGTCAAGTCACAATTTTTGTAAACAACTAATAAAAATAAATCTATATATACATTCAAACTTTGACAAATAAAAAAATACTTTTAAAAAGTTAATTTACAAAACTTATGCTAAAATATAATAATGATTGAATCAATAATTTTTATAAGTAACAAATTAAAACACGTATTAAAAAACAATGTAATAAAACCATTAAATAGTCAATCAGATTGCCGAATAATCCTAGGCGTCAGAATTAAGCGTATGCATTGATGTATGTATACGTTGATTTTGCAATGAAAAATGGTTTTAATTTTTATAACAAATTATTAATATTTACAAACGTGTCACGTGTTGCGTGTTACGTTAAACACTCTACGCGTAACCCGAGATTAGAAAACATGTAAAAAGGTACTATAAAAAGATAATAGCTTATAAAATCAATATATTATATATGAAAAAAATTAGGCGTCAGTATATACACATTAGTTATAATCGTTAGGTATTTAGTATACACGAGGTACACACTGTAAAGTACAATTATAAATAAAGTTAAACGTTAAAAATATACTAAAATGTTTTTTTTTTCATTAACAATGCCAGTAATGAATATAACACTTGTTACCCTGTGCAGCTGAATCAAATATACATTTGCATATAAGGAGATTTTCATTAATTTCAAACTCAGTCCGGCCCGTTGAACTAATTGTACAGAAAGCTGTGATAATAGCTTTGCCAGCAATTTGGTCCTTAAAAACAGCAAACTGTAAGATTTAGTAAAAAATAAAAAAAACAACCAACCTTTATACCACTAATCGTATCGATAAGTGAAATACCAGTAATAAATAAAGTAAACTCAAGCAATACAAAAACATTCGTGTGCCTTGAAAATTTTCAGTTGTCATTTAAAAAAATAGAAATGTTTTCAGATATTTGAAATATTTTAATACCATTAAAATACCATGTTTTCTATCTTTTTTTCTTTTAGTTTAATTTTAATTTCAGCTTGTTGAAATTTGTTAAATAACGCTGAAATTATTGATAGCACCCAGCTAACACACATTGGTAAAACGTTATAACAATGTTGCGAGTTGCGTTGTCACAACTTCGGTAGTTAACGTTTATTAGTATAATATTACTTTACTAGATTGTCTGAAATAATTAGTAAGTTCGCGTGAAGTTGTTAAAGTTCGAGGACAACTTTGGTACTGCGGTTAGAAAGTATTTATTTAATAATATCAAAAACCTTCCGAAATACACCATGTAAAGCACCCTTATGGAGAAGACCAGCATGTCAGACTTAGATATGTCAAGTGCAATAGCCCATACCTTGCTGCCACCATGTAATGCACGATAGAATTTTTCTGCTATAACAGTTCACAAGTTAGCTTGAGAACAAGTGAACTAGAGAGAAGACCCAAAAATGTACAAATGAGTAAAAAAAAAAAAAAAGCAGTTGTTATATTGGAAACTAATGATTTAGTGTTCAAAGAACCAATAAGTTATCTAAATGGTTTTAATAAATACCTTCAAGAACTCGCGGGAAATAAAGTAAAGCTATCAACTACACAACCATCAAAATTTAAAAAAATTTATAGCTTACAAAAACATGCCAGCACGATCATTTACTCTAAAGATAAACGTGAACACGCTAAAGCCTTGATGAAAGATATGAAAATGATGGATGTATTTGAAATAAATACCTATTAGCATTTTATCTTTATGTATTGATTTAATAACAATCTCTCTAACAAACTTTAATAATAAGTTTGAAACAAATGTAAATGAAAACTATAACCTATGGGCAAATTTAAGTAACAAATATAAACTGTCTTGGAAATCTGGTAAAAATACGGAATATAGCATTACATAACTTATTTCAAAAATCATGTTTGATTTAATTTAATTTGATTATAGAGGACCAAAAATATGGAATACCTATCAAAAAGGACTCAAGTGCAAGGTTAAGTTGTTAAGTTCATTCAAGTATTTAACAAAAACATAAATTTTTAAAACTTGAAATTTTTTTAAATATATATTTGTGCATATTTACTCGGAAGTCTCTTGATCATTTTTTCAGTCTTTTTAGTTTTTTTTTTTTTTTTGTTTTTAATTTTTGTTTCTTTTAATTTTTAGCGCAGTAAAGAATACTATTACATTTTCATAGTTTCTTAGTTTTTTTATTTTTAGTTTAAAATAAAAATGGTTCAAAATAAAAAACTTTTTAAGGGGCTCTATGAAAAGATTGCGACGACGTATTGTCATTCTTTTTTGAGTCCCTGTCTGTTTAATTCTTTAACTAATAAAGATCATTAAAAAATCCATTCCATTTTATATTTTATATACAAAACGGTGCCTAGTGACAAGAAGTACAATTTTACTATGGATTTGTATGCATTTTTTTGTATATATAATTTGATTGTATTTATTAAACTGCGAAATTAATGTATAAAAAAAAAAAAAAAAAAAAAAAAAACGGAACATAAAACCTTATACATTGATGCTATTTAACAAATTCAAAACGGTAAGAAAAGAACCGACACTGAAAGCATCTTCACCGAAGTCTCGAAACATTTGAAAAATAGTTTTCAGAATAACGACATAATTAATCACCTGAATTTTTTTGTTTCAAAAAACATTGCAATCTTCTCATTTAAGAATCGGAAAGAATCTTATAAAATAGGTAATACCCTTGAAATAACTGACTTGACTACTTAAGCCATAACTATGTTTTATTATGAAAAAAATTAATATATTGATAATAAATTTAAAATTTTAGCTGCTGAATTAGATATTCTCAAAAATTGAAAGAGTTCTTTATCTAAAAAAAAGAAAAAAGTCTCTATCCTAAACCAGTGGGCACCGGATCAAAAAATGACGTCTTTTGAATTTTCAAAAGACGTCCAAAGCGTGTATAAAACGAATAAAAGACGTCTTTTTTACGTCTGTGCTTACTGGGAAAGGAAGAATTATCGTTTTTAAGAGCGGAATTGTGCGAAATGCAGAAAATTGTTTAAAGTTTTACCAACCACGATAAATCAAGCTTGACTTTCCAAAAATTGTCGCAAACTCTAAATCATATTAATGGTGATAATTATAGTGTATCTTTTAACAATTAATTAATGATTTGAATATCAAAAAATTTCAAAAGGAGTTGATATCAACAAAAACCTTAAAGTCTTTGAAAAAAATGAAATTTTTAGTAATAAATGTATTAATATAAAAGATCCTTTGAATGACCAGGTAACGGATCTTCATGATCAACAAAAATCTAAATACTATTTATCTAAAAGAACCTTAAATTCTGATCTTTTAAATTTCAATTAAACCTTTAAAATTGACACAGGCAAACCTTTAAAAAAATACAACGATTTTACTAATCAACTACGCTCTACCAAGCTTGAAAGTAAGACAAAGTTTTTTATTTAATAAAAAAAATGCAAAAAATCTTTATTTTGGATAACTTCATATTAATTTAAAATATCAATAAAACATATTCCATTAAAGAAAATTTGAGTAGGATTACTAAAGAGAAACAGTTATAAATGGCCATCTGGTATTGTTTTAATATGTGACGATTCTATTCTCATGGAAATAACTGAAAAATCAGTAAAAGTAAAAGTTCAAACATTCATAGGAGCCACTATTGAAAATATGCACTTTAACTTAATTTCACTTTTGAAGAAAGAACCGTCTTAGCTAATCCGTCATATAGGAACCAACAATTGTGTCGATGATTCATCTGAAAATGTAATGGGTAAACTTAAAAACCTTGTCAAACCTATATCAAGTTTGAATTTATCCTGTTTGGTCATTTTATCTTTTCCAAGTTTTCGTTTCGATAACGCCAAAGCCTAGCTGGCTTCTAAACAGTTAATGATTTAGCTTAAAAAATCACGTTTTAATATTATTGATAATTCTGACGTCATTATAATTATTCTCAATATTCTGATAATACTAACCTTTACAAAGAACATCTTAGACAAAAGGGTCTCCATCTAAACACGCGAGGTTTGGTTAGGTTATCTAAGGCTACAAATTTTGGCAATTTTATTAATTATTTGAAGTCTATTAGATATTTATCACTTACCTATAATTTATAATAACCAAACAAGCTTACACAGCCCCAATAAAAAATTTAGGCTTAAATCCGATTTGGATTACAGTATGGTCAAAAAATTGAAAAAATAATGAAAGGTTTACAAAAATTCGCATTGAGTTGAAAATTTGTTCAGACGTTCAGGACATTTTTAAAAATAAAATATTAAAAGTCTCCACTGGTCCCACATTTTCAAAAAAAGTTATTCAAGGGCAAAGGATAGAGATTTTTGTTTTTTCGCAAACGCATTTTACTTTCTACAACAAGGAAATACGTTCCTTCGTATTTCTCTGATCTTCGATAGGAACAATAAAATATTGCAAACATTTAGGGTGTTCTAAAAAATTCTATATTTAGTTAAAGATTTTTTTGCGATTTTATAAAAAAAGCAACTTAAAAGTAATGATTTATTTTTTATTTATCAATTTTTTTCTGCATAATTTTCTTTCTAAGCACATTTTTACGATTTTCGTTAATAAAAATAATTAAAAAATATTTTTTTGCAATGATTTTTTAAACTAAGGTTACTTTTTTAAACCACTAAAAATAATTCATCACATTATACTAAATAATGCGCGTTCAGTTTGTCTTGGACGATATTTTGTCTGACTTTTTATGAACTTTCCTTTGCAGTGAATACGTATGGTTATTGAATAGTATTACTTATTAATAATAAGATAATATAGGGCCAAACTCGAATTGTTTGAACTGGGTCTCAGTTTCTTTATTATAAACCCAAAACCTGCCAGACCCGTTAAATCCGTTTACCAAAAGTTAATATGCATACTTGACGAATTGGTTAATAGACGTGGGTCTGGCGCGTTTTGCGTCTATAATAATAAAACTCAGTCGTCTTTTACTATGCCTCAAAATGTATATTTCATATGTTTGTCCACAATTTGCAGTATAAGCCACCATATCTATCTCAAAATATAGCCGAATCCTAGCAAGTTCAACAACGAGTCACGAAAACATGAAAGTTCTACCATTTAGCATTTACCCTTCACTCAGCAACTATCAAGATTAAACCTGACAATGCTAACCAAGCGACATGCAAGAAGAGATCTTAATAAGCAATAAAAAATTGATAGCAACATTGACATAAAGGGGGGAGGAATGATTAATGATGGGGGATGTTAATACCAAAGCTAGAAAAAAGAAAAAAAAGCTCCTTTAATTTTCAAAAGGGCCTCTAAAGTAGGAAAAAAAATTAGTTCTGGTAAGGAAGGGAGAGAGGGCTGGAGAAGAGAATGCATACCCTTACACCCCCTAAATCTGTGTGATGTATGAGGCAACATCAGTTTTTTACCATCCTTATTTTATTTAACCACCATCCAGCGAACATGTCTATATAAACCCAACGCGGCTCTTAAAATGAGCATTAGAGCATGGGTTACAAGACATGGATCCGGGATGGTATCTAATTTGACAAAATATTCCGTTTGCTTAGATAACGAAATATTCCGTCAAGTATGTTTATTGAAAAAAAAGCATTCTTTTGTTTATTTTATTGAAAAAAAGTTATATTATTGAAAAAAATTTCTTTAATTTAATCATTTAGTTTATAGATTATAATTAACGAGTGACTTTAATTTAATCATTTAGTTTATAGATTAATTAATTAACGAGTGACAACTAAAAAACGAGACT